TGAGCCACAGCACTACTTCCAATTTTTTGGTGGTTCATTGGAGATACGAGTCTTTGGGTTTGTAGTTCCCTGCACTACTGCTCCATGTGCTTGTAAAGTATGCCCTGGGTTTATTGCCACCTCTCTGAATCTGATGGTTTTGTATTACTAACAAGTAACTGGCTCCAACTGGATGGTAAGTGCCTTGAGGGTAGGGCCTCAAGCTTCCTGGTGAATCTCATTGTGACAGCACAATGCATGCAGATATGACACTCAGAATGTCACCTATCAAGGGGTGTCTGTGAACTGAGGGGCACAGAGCGCCTGCAAGCTGGCCAACTGCTCACTTGCCCCAGTGGGCAGGGGCTTTACTAGAGCCCACTTGTTGGGCAGTCCAGGCTACCAAATGGGACATCCCAGCTCAGTTTAGGGCGAAGAGGTATAGGGACAAAAACACTCCCCACCAACCTCCTTACCCAGGTCCAAACTTAAGAGAGCCAGCTCAGGGCCTACCATTCGAGACTTGTGGCTGTTTGTTCAACAGTCACCATGGATCACCGAAGCCGATCACGGGGTATAGGCCTGAACCGAATCCCTGTGAATCAGCTCAGAACCCCCAGGACTCCGGTCCCCTTACATGTGGAGCAAGAGGCCGGAGAAGGGGAAGAGTGGGAGAGAGAACAAACTCTTCCTCGCCATCGGGCTCTTAACGCTGAACCTCCAGACAATGAAGAGCTGCAGGAAAGCGTGACGGGTAAGAACATACTCTTCCTGCCTCAGCCTTCCTTTGTCCAGAGAAGCTAAGGTTCAGGAGGTAGAAAGAGAGCATATAATGGGCAGAAACAGGGAGAGGGATGACTTTAGAAAAGGCAGATTTTACATCTGTCCCAAGGAGTTGTCACAAGGAGTCAAATTATAATATAGGAATGCAATCTGAAACTAAAACAGACTACCTGGAATATTGTTACTTACCAAACTGAAGTGCTTCTTTGGAAAACAAAGACCAATTATGTGATTTCAATCTCAGAGAGATGACAATCTATAATAAAGACAAACAGGATGGCTTCTGGGGGAATCAGAAAGGTAAGAAGTCTCCAAAAGAAGGAAGAGTGAGGGACATGAAGACTACTGATTACTCCCACGTTTCTAGTGTGTAGTGTGTATTTTCTCTGAGCCATTCCCACCCAACAGAGTAAATTGTCAGAAGATGAAAAATGGCTAGGTTGCAGGGGCACATGCCTATAATCCTAGCTACTCAGGAGGCCAAGATCTAAGGATCATGGTTTGAAGCCAACCCAAACAGGAAAATCTGTCATACTCTAATCTCCCAATTAATCACCAAAAAGCTAAAAATGGAGCTGTGGCCCAAGTGGTAGAGTACTTACCTTAAACAAAGCAGCTCAAAGACAGAACCCAGGCTCTGAGTTCAAGCCCTAGCACCCACACAAAATAAATGACTGATAAAAGGTATAATATAAAAATAAATTTTAAAAGAAAACCACCGAGACAGGTGCTGGTGGCTCATGACTATAATTCTAGCTACTCAGGAGGCTGAGATCTGAAGATTATGGTTTGAAACCAGCCCAGGCAGGAAAGTTCATGAGATTCTTATCTCCAATTAACCACCAGAAAGCCAGGATGTGATACTGGCTCAATTGTAGATCATTAGCCTTGAGCACAGTCAAGCTTAGAGAAAATGTCCAGAACAAGTTTTAAAAAAAAAAAAACTGACAATCTTGAGAAAGGCTAATGGATAGTGCCCAGCCCTGAGTTCAAGCACCAGTACCTGCACAAAAATGAATGAATATAAAAATAAATTGATTTTTAAAATGCAGGAGGTGGAGCTATGGCTCATGTGATATACCACCAGCAGGATCCAGGGTTTGAGTACAAGACCCATTGCTGCCACAAAGTGAATTTTGGACGAAGTTTTATGATGGCTTTTTTTTGCGGGGGGGGGGGAGTCTTTTAGTTTTTTGAACTAGGGCTTGGTAAAAGAGTGCTGGTTGCCTCAATCTGATACTATTGGTATGGGCTACCACACCTGACTACAATTTTATGTGTTTAAGAACCAATAATGGACACCTGTGGCCTAGGTGGCCAAGCGATAGAGTGTCTGCCTACCACACTCAGAGCCCCGAGTTCAAACCCTAGTACTAGCAAGAATTAAAACGTACCTGAGCTGGGTGCTGGTGGCTCACGCCTGTAATTCTAACTACTCGAGAGGCTGAGATCTGAAGACCATGGTTCAAAGCCAGCCCGGGCAGGAAGGTCCGTGAGACGCTTATCTCCAATTAAACACCTAAAAATCAGAAGTGGAGCTGTGGCTCCAAGTGGTAAAACGCTCACCTTGGGCAAAACAGGCTCAAGGCCAGCACCCTGAGTTCAAGCCCCATGACCGAAGCCCCCACCCCGCAAAAATACACACCGGACACGCCTCAGTCAGTGACCGAACTGCTTGTTTGTCCTGTATTTTTCCTTCCAAAGGGGAAGAAATGGGCCCTTCAGCTAGGATTTTTCCCCAGTTTTCCCCACAGCAACGTCTAGAAAGCGGGGGAGGGGGTTCTGGCCTGTTTCCATATGAGCATCACTACCAAAACCATGCCTATTAGAGTCATAAAGGGTATTTGGAGGCATAGCGCCCACAAACTGGGGTAGAATGGCGGCCATCACGGAGCCTTAGAGGAGAACAAGCAGATCTCACTCACTCCTCAAGGGCAAATGATGCTCTCTTAAAGGGCGGAGGCGACGCTGGGAAAGAGAAAGACCTGGAACAATGGGTGGGGCTTAAAGCTCTGAGGGCTGAAAGCGAATCCCAAGCTCTATGGAAAATGATTGGTCTACAGCAGTGTTGAGGGCGGGGCAAGTGAGAGGGAGCGCAAATGTGAAAGGGACAGGGAGGAAGTGTGAGAAGGGAAGAGGGCGGAAGTGCGGACAGGTGGGAGGGGCAGAAGACTAGTAAAGGCACAAAGGCAGAATCTTCGAGAAGCTGCACCTGCGCAAACGTCACTGGAGGGTGGGGCATGCAACAGAACGTCGTGGGTGGGCGGGACAATCGTGTGGCGTAGGCTAAGATTGTCAGCGAGGGGGCAGGCAGCCTCAAGCAGGGAAGGGGTTGGGGTAGCAGTTTTTAGTGATTTTCAAAACTAGAACAACTCTGTTAGGATACGGTGTTTTCTGGAAACAACTTGTCAATTTAGAGAGAGAAATATTCTTTTTTTTCTTTTTTTGGTCGGTCGTGGGGCTTGAACCAACACCTCAGAGTGGCCTGGGTGCTGCCCGCGAGCTCTTCAGCTCAAGGCAAGCGCTCTGCCACTCGAGCCACAGCGCCACTTCCAATTTCTGGTGCTTTACTGCCTGGGCTGGCTGATCTGACACTCCTGAGTAGCTAGGATTATAGGTGTGAGCCTCCCCACTCCCCATGACCTGGCAAACCCAGATTTGAAGGACTTAATCTTTTCACCCAGTGCCCGTGGCTCACGCCTGCAATCGTAGCTACTCAGGAGTCTGTATCAAGGTTCAAAAGCCAGCCCGGGCAGAAAAGTCCGTGAGACTCTTGTCTCTAATAAACCACCAGAAAACCAGAAGTGGCGCTGTGGCTCAAGCGGTAGAGCACTCGCCTTGAGCTGAAAAGTTTAGGGACAGCGCCCAGGCCCAGAGTTCAAACCCCATGACCAACAAAACCCACACACAAACATGTGTCATCTGGATACAGATAGACATGTTTTTAGTCTTTCCAGGACTTAAAAGGGTTGGAATCACTGAGTCATAACTGTTCATATAAATCACTTAAAAGTAAAAGGCATTAGATTCTTGCTATCCAAAACTTGGCTTTCACCACAATTCTTATGCTGTCAAAACTCGTTCTCCCCTCCCTCCTCACATAAGCCTCTGGTAACTTAACAGGTAATTCAGAAATAATATGTACTTCAATTTTTCAAAAATCTCTCCAAGCCAGATGTTAGAAAAAGCCAAAGTGGTGCTGTGGTTCAAGTGGTTGAGCAGTAGTAGCCTTGAGCACAAAGAGGCTCAGGGATAGTGCACAGGGCCTGAGTTCAAGCCCCAAGCCCAGCCAAAAATAAAACAAAACAAAAAAACAACACAAACACACACACACACACAACCTCACAAAAGAGGAAAAAGAGGTGCGGGATAGATTCATTTACCCATTCCCATTGTATCACATGTATACAATGAAGGTTTGCCAATTGAATGTGTGTGTGTGTGTGTGTGTGTGTGTGTGTGTGTGTGTGTTGGTCCCAGGGCTTGAACTCAGGGCCTGAGTGATGTCTGGCAGTGTTTTCTACCTTTTCCTGCTCAGAGGAGAGTGCTCTACCACTTGAGTCACAGCTCCACTTCTGGCTTTTGCGTTTGGTGGTGAATTTGAGATAAGAATCCTATGGACTTTGTAGCCTACAGTGGCTTCATGGCAAGACCAACAGAATATTGAATAGAATTGTAGAAATGAGGCAGCAGCTCTACTAGTCACATTTCTAAGGTGTATAGTCAGTATAAAATCCAAGCTATTCCTAAGCATGTAGGAGAGTTTCAGCCTTCTTTAAATTTTTTTCTGCCATGGGGCTTGAACTCAGGGCCAGGACGCTATCCCTGGCATCTTTGTGCTCAAGGAGAGCGCTCTACCACTTTGAGCCACCGTGCAGTCCATGGACTTTCCAGCCCAGGCTGGCTTTGAACCGTGTTCCTCAGATCCCAGCCTCTTGAGTAGCTACAGGCGTGAGGCGCCGATGCCCGGCGTGTTCTATTCTAGCTTTTGAAGATTGTGCGCTGTAGTGAGACTTTGGGGAAGAAGCGGGCGTGGACTAAAACAAAGGCTTAACTCAAAGCTCCGGAGGCCAGCCAGAAGCCACGCCCCAAAGCGGCCGGCTCTGAGAAAGACAACGCTCCATCCAGGCCCATCCCCAAGGCGCAGGCGCAAATGCCCTCTGGGGAAAAGGAGGAGGCAGCACCCACGTGGCGGAGGGGCGGGGCTGAGTGGGCGGGACGAGGCGGAGCCGGCCTCTCGAGGCCGCGCCCTTGTTCTCGCGGGCGTCGTGCACGAGGTCGTCGCTTCCCGGCGGCGGGAGAAAGCGGGCTCGCGCGTAGGGACGTGTTTTTGTGCTCGCGTGGTCATGGAGGCGTCCTCGGCTAGCTTCGCCGCGACAACTCTGGCCCCTCGCTGGAGCCAAAAACTACTGCTGCTCTTGCTGCTGCTCTTGCTGCCTACCAGAACTCTGCAGAGCTTGGACATTGAGGAGAGGCCCCGGACCCGCGAAGATAAGTGCCACTTTTACGCGGGTGGACAAGTGTACCCCGGAGAGGCGTCCCGAGTGTCTGCCTCAGACCACTCTGCGCACCTAAGCAAAGCCAAGAGTAGGTGATACCCTCCCAGGGTTTGGATGGGGATGTGTGTGGAGAACCCCGGGACTTGCCTACCCTGCTTTCGGATGCTACCGAGGCGGATGGGGGTGGGGGGCGGGGGGGGGCGGACGCTGCAGTTGGGCGGAACCCCCCAGGCTGCCTCCGGGCCTTGAGGCAGCCTGGCTTTTTCCTTGGTGGGGAGAAGAACAAGGGCTCTAATTGTAAAAAAAAAAAAAAAAAAGATAGTTTCCAGTGATCAGATTTTTGGAAGAGGTAGTGGTAACCCCAAAAAGCCACAGATGAGGGAAAGTGGGTGACTCTAGTCCCGTTGCAGGCATTAAGGATGTTGAGCAAATACTTCCTTAAGTATCGTAAAGTGCCTGAGGCACTACCGTTTCTTTGCCCGCAGTTTTTCAGGGAAGAAAGTACATTGATAGGTTGAATAATGATTCACAGAAAGTTTGATTAAACAAAAAAAAGTGACTAAACAAAATGGGGGGCAGTTCAAAAGTTTCACCTTCTTTGGTAGCATCTTAATGGACTAAAATCCATCTTCCCTAAAAGTTGTATATATAACAGCTATTCTTTGTGATTCACAGAAAACTGTACTTTGGCAGGAAATAGAAAAAAAAACGAGGTTGAAAGGAACAGTTTGGGTCGGTGGTAAATAGTGACAAAGTTGTGCCCTGCCCATTTGGCTTTTGATTATTTGCGTTCCCTGTTCAGTGTGCAAAATTCCTGTCCAGTGTACAAAGCTAATAGCCACTCTCGGGAAGGACACGTCAGAGTACGTAGATACTGTGAACGTTGTAACCAATTGCATCTGCTTAAAATTAGTGAAAAAACAGTGACCAGAGGTTACAGATAAAGACTAGCTCTTACCTGCTATCCGTAGGAATCGTGTGACATTCTGTAGGGCTGTATTTGGCTTCTGTAGGGCTGTATTTGGCTTCTGTAGTTGTTAGAGCACACTCTGTGCTAATATTCAATGGCAAAGGTAATGCTTCACAGTTATGAGTCCCCAGAAATAAATGGGATGTTGTTACGGCTTATGATGGGGTGGGAGTGATACATGAGGAAAACTATTTTGCCTTCTTAATTTGTCTTTTCATACTGAAAAGTACTTAGGTTTGTTGTTGTTGTTTTGGGGAGAAGGACTGGTCCAGGGGCTTGAACTCGGCGCCTTGCACTCTCCATCTGCTTTTCCAGTTCCCACCTGCTGTTCTACCACTTGAGCCACATCTACAGTTCCAGTTATGTTTTGTTGCTTTGCTGATTATTTAGGGGGATAAGAGCCTCTAGAGTTGATCTGCCTTGGCTGGCAGGAGTCTCAGCTCTGTTTCCTGAGTAGCTAGGATTATAGAAGCCACCAAAGCCCACCTACTTTTGGATTTTTTGCTTTTACTAAGCCAGTCTTAATTTTTTTTTAATCATCTTAGTTTTCAGGCTCCATTGTTTTTAATTACCTGGTAAGATGTGCTGAAATATGGTAGCCAGTTAGGTGTTTATGGGCATTATATGTTTGCTCTGGGGGGAAAAAAAACCTTCAAAATTGCTTTTGGAAGTTAAAATGATAGTAATATTTCCCTTTGGCAACTAACTTTTTCAAATCGTTATTATTTGCTACATTTTTTTATCATATTGGATTTATCTAGCGATCCACAAATTTTTATCCAACAGATGGGATATCATGGAGCCATTAAAACATGTTTCACATTGATCAAGATGCATTGTTCTTATAACCTGACATGGAATTGTAGCCTCTTTGTACCACTAGTTTCAAAAAGAGTAAAATGTTAAAAACATATTTTTTTATTTTTTATTGTGAAAATACTGTACAGAGGGGTTACAATTACATGGGCAAGATAATGAGTACATTTCTTATCAAGCATTGTAGCCTCCTCCTTTGTTTCCCCTTCCCATCCCTTCCCATGGGAAAAAACAAGTCGTTTAAATAAGGATAAAGGTGGACCCGTTGCAACAATGAGAAGTACAAGTTATGTCGAAAAACATGTTTGCAAATCATTTTTAATAATATGAAAAACTGGTCCTAATTACCTTTTCCTTTAAAAAAAAATGGGAAAAGTAAGGTGCTGGTGGCTCACACCTGTCATCCTGGCTACTCAGGAGGCTGAGATCTGAGGATCTCAGTTTGAAGCCAGCCCGGGCAGGAAAGTCCATGAGCTGTTATCTCCAATAAACCACCAGAAAACCAGAAGTGGCGCTGTGGATCAAGTGGTAGAGTGCTAGCCTTGAGCTGAAGAGCTGAGGGCCTAGAATTCAAGCCCCACTACCGACCAAAAAAAGAAAAGGAAAATAATGGAAGTGCAACATGATCCAAATTAGTAAAAAGGAAAAAAAGACTGGAAGATAATACACTAAAGTGTTAACAGTAGTTAACGGAGGTTATAAAGGAAAGTGAAAGAGCCATTATACTTCTCTTAGTTTTCCAGAAGAATCTTTATGTTAATCATAAAATTTATACTTAGGACATTTTGTTTTTTAATCCATATAAAGGACTGTTTGGGGAACTTGGGAGAACTCTATAGATCTTAGCAAAGTAACTAGTTAAATCAAGAACCAGTGTTTCTAAAACTAGTTTTCAGGACAAAATTTATTTTTCCCCCATGCTTTGCCATATATGCTAAAATCCTTCTTGTATAACAGGTCATTAGAATTATTATAACCTCTTGCCAAAGTAATGTTTTAAGTAATATATATGAATTATATATATAACACGCATGTGTGTATATATGTATATATATTTATATATACACACATATCAATATATCAGTACCCCTTGTCTTTTCCTAATCACATCAGGATTATTTATATGTTATATTTCTGGCTCCAGGTAAGTAATTACATTATATGTTAACTTCACAGAGAAGTTCATCATCAGTCTCTTCGTAAAGCAACCATACTGGCTGTTATATAAAACCATTACCCATACTTTCTAGGACCCCTAGTCAAACTTGGGAGCAGACACTGACCTCAATGTATGTATGTAATGCTTCTGAAAGTGTAAAGTGACATCCAAATGTGTTAACAGCATAAAAGAACATTGTGCTGGCTAGAGTTACTGTATGTCTTTACAAGAGAACAGCACTATTTAGTTCCCATCAGGTCACTTAAAACCTATTCAAGGGAGTCTCCTTTTACAGGCCTTTTAGAAAAACTGTTCCATAGCTGGATGTCAGTGGCTCATGCCCGTAATCCTAGCTACTCAGAAGGTTGAGATATGAGGATCATGGTTAGAAGCCAGCCTCAGCAGGAAAGACCATGAGACTCATAGCTCCAATGAACCACAGAAGAGGCCAGACTGATGCTGTTATCTCAAGTGGTAGAATGCTAGCCTTGAGCAAAAGGAGTTGAAGGAGTCCAGAGTTCAAGGCACAGTACTGGCAACAACAAAACAGTACCACGATCTGGAACCATTCCCTTCTTCCCTTAAGTGTTTTCACACCTCCTCCTCCTCCAATGCAGCTAAATCCTTCCTGTGTATGTGCCTCCCTGTGTATGTGAGAAGCTGGAAAATGTTAGTACATTTGGAGGACTGCCTGTAGAGAGATGAACATCTAATTATTTGAAATGCAGGAAGTTGATACATAGGGGCTGGAGTGAAGTGTCCAGTAGGGGGCAGCCAGGCACCAGTAGCTTCTGCCTATACTCCTTTCTACTCTGGAGGCTGAGATTCGAGGATTGCAGTTCAAAGTCAGCTGGGGCAGAAAATTCCCCTATGAGACTCCTATCTCCAATTAAGCACCAGAAAACCAGAAGTGGCGCTGTGGCTCAAGTGGTAGAGTGCTCACCTTGAGCTGAAGAGCTCAGGGACAGTGCCCAGGCCCAGAGTTCA